CAGGCAGCTGATACCATCAACTAGTATCTTAGGTGAGAGAAACTGAGATGCCTGTCTGACATGAGACCTGCTTTCCTCCCTCTCTGTTCTGGTTGCACCATTATCTGGCCACATCAGATGCTCCATTACCCTTTGTCCTTGCTTACCCTTTACTCAACCTTCCTGGGAACTGTAATCTCTTCTCTCTCATTCTTGACCTTGACAGCTAACTAGTGGCTGCTGTGTATTCTTGCATATAGTATACTCTGTTATGTACCCAATAAAAAAGATTCTTAGGAAGCTGAACAAGTTGCTGCATTGTTTTCATGCTGCTATCAGGCATCTGAAACAGTGTATGCCTTTCCAGGCTTCCAGGCTTTATGTTATAAGTCTGGTGTTAACATCTTGTGATTTCCCCAGCACCATCTCCCATGCCCTAAACCTAACACTAGTACACTCAGGGACAGCAGAACCTGCACAGCAAGCTCAGGGAACTTTGGAGAAAATGGTCACCATGCTGAGTTCACGGAAGTCAAACCTTATGAATTGAAAAGCACAAAGAAGATAAATGTGGCAAAGGGACAGAGTGCAGGGAAGGTAGGACAGGGTGCAGAGAGATGGCCCTAGAGCCATAAGCAGATAACAGGTCATGAAAGGTCTAGAAGACATTAAGAATGCTGGACTTTGGCAAGCACTAGGAAGTCTTGGAAAGTTCTAAGCTAGGGAATGGAAGGCAAGAACATATCTGCACAGGTTGAAGACTGAAGTGCAGTGAGGCAGGAAGCAAGCTAAGAAGCTATTGTGGCTCTACAGTTGAGAAGTAATGGCAGCATGGACTAGATGGGTGCATGGTGAAGAAAAGAAGAAGAAGGACTCAGGGAGGGGGTCTTTTTATTTTTATTTTTTTAGAGACAGAGTCTCACTTTGTCACCCTCGGGAGAGTGCTATGGCATCACAGCTCACAGCAACCTCTAGCTCTTGGGCTTAGGCAATTCTCTTGCCTCAGCCTCCCAAGTAGCTGGGACTACAAGTACCTACCACAACTCCAGGCTATTTTTTTGTTGTTGCAGTTTGGCTGGGTCTGGGTTCAAATCCACCACCCTGGGTATATGGGGCTGACACCCTACTTACCGAGCCACAGGTGCCGCCCAAGGGGAGGTGGGCTCTTTTTAAGGAGATAAAATGGTCTTGGTAGGGAATTAATGTGGGGAAATAAGAAAAAAGATAACTCAAGGTTTTTGACCTGCATTTGTCTTACTAGGATTCTGAACACCCAGAAAGAAACAGGTCTATAGAGAAAGACCATACCCACTGATTGGGCACAATTTAGGAGTGTGTGGCACACCTTTTGAGTGTGGAACATAACTACAAGAGGGACTCTACACAACAAATTCAAATAATGTGATTTGGTTGTTTGTACCCTCACATTAATCTGAAATAAACAATAATAATAATTTGAAGAAGAAAATGATCATAAATTCCATTTTGGCAACTTGAGTTTAAGATGGTAACTTAAGTTTAAATGTAATGGTGCAAATTTCTATTGAAAATAGCACTCCTTGTTAGAAATATAATGCAGTCTACAAGTGCCAGCCACAAACCTTGTCCTAAAATTTATATCAACCACATTTAAAAAGTAAAAAGAAATGGGTGAAATTAATTTTAATAATATATTTATCTCAACATCATGTCAACGCCATCAGTACAAACTATTACAATGTTTTACATTCTTCTTTCATCCCAAGTCTTAGAAATATGGTGTATATCTTACTAATTCACTCTTATAACACACCTCAATTTGGACTGGCCATATTTCAAGTGTTCAGTACCTAGACTTTCCTAGTGGCTATAAGATTAAACAGCATAGATTCTAACGGCCATTGGTTAAATGAGTCTAGAGTACAGGAAAGCACTGAAGACTGGAGGTACAAAATTTAGAATCACTAGTGAATGTTAATTGAGGTTTTGGAAATAACCCAGATCATCTGGGAAGAGTGTATGGCTTGAGAAGAAAGGAAAACTTCTTACAGAACCTTAAGGAACACTAGAGCTTATGAGACAGAAAGGAGAGTTGACAAAGGAGATCTAGAAAGAGGGTACAAAAATCTACTGATAATGATATACTTGGTCCATGTAATCATCTCTATACAGAAGAACCATTTATCTAAATTTTGAGTTCAATAAATCTAAGAGATAAGTGAGGTATGTCATTATTATGGAGACCCTGGGGATAAACAGTGACTGGTATATATTTCTGAAATGAGGTCCTAACTCATATTGGCAAAACTCACAGCCTCAGCAGGAAGACCGAGGTCTACAGAGGGCAGCTCCTAGAAAGAGAAACTGGGAAAGGAACACTATGTAGAGTGCCTGCAGCTCCTGCAGAAAGCAGTTTGCCGAACTGGTGACAGAGAAAACAATTATAAGCAGCATTCATGTACATCAAGCGTGTGATCACTGTAGCAAAACATAAAGTAGACTCTAGAGAGTGGCAATTTTTTCTTCACCCGGATATTAAATAATGTGGCCAACTTCAAAAATGTATATTTTCTGCTCCCTTTGAGTCACAGAAACCTATAAAACAGGAGGTACCAAAAACATGTGCACCCTCAGACTTAAGGCAGTAGGTGGCAGGAATATGTTGAAGATCACCAATGTCAAACAAAGAAGTTATAGTTAAACTGGAACAGAGGGGGGGCCTTACCAAGACAGAAATCACACTCCAAGAGCTTGGTTTTAGCAAAGGGGGAAGGGGCTCACTGGTTTATGTAGCTATGTGAAGCCTCTCTCCCTGCCCTCCCAAGACCTCTAGCTGAGGGCAGGGTAAAGGTTTTGAAAGTGAAGACAGCAGGGTGCTTATGCCATATCAGATCTCCATCAACATGCAACCCCAAAAGATCATGACCGTGAGAGCTTTGTAAATCAACTCTTAGGGTGCTTGCCCCAGGGCAGATAGCACAACAAATTAATCCTTTCTCCATGAAATGCAGCAAAGTTTGTATCTATGCTGAATTCAAATTGCTCATTAGCTCTGACATGTTCCTAATGAGGTTATAATGCTCTGGGACAAAGATCAAGCCACTGAGCACAAATAGCTAGGGATAGGATTATAAAAAGAAAAACTGCGAAGGACCTCAGAGCGATGCTTCTCAAGTTCAATGGGAATCACCTGGGCATTCAGACTCAGGACATGCCGGGTCTGGTCTGAGTTTCTGCATTTCTAAGAAGTCCTCTGATGGAGCTGATGCTGCTGATTCACGGACTATACTTTGAACTGCAAGGCTTTAGAGATAGTCTAGTCCAATTGCTAAACTAAAAGTGAGACCATAGGGCCAAGACACTTGTGACTGGAAATATGCTGAGACTTCCTTATGACTAATTTGGGGCAATTGGGTATTTGTCTATAGACATGTAGGTCAACCCGAAAATTTTAAATAGCATCCAGGAGACAGGGTGGCAAATTACCCTACTTGATTCAAGAAGCATCCTGGACATGGGATTTTCCATTTTAAAACCAAAAAGATTCCTAAAAAACTGTAATGAGTTTTTTGCCCTACTTGGACACTTCTGAATCTCCTTAGAATATAGCATCAGGATATATTGATGAGTGGTGAGATCACAACTGGCTATCAAAGCAAGAAGACGCTATCCTGAAGACTCAATGGGTAAATGTTCAGACAAGGTTAAGCTCGGTAGAGCCTTCCAATGCCACAGTGACAACTGCCTCTCCAAGGGACAGCCTACCAATAGATCTCAAAGTAAGGTATATGAAAAGAGTACCAAGATATATAGAAATAAATATCATACACGCATACAATGTTCATTCTAACTATACAAATATATTTTATTTTCTTAATTTGAAAAAATGCATATAAGAAATAAGTCACTAACTTTTATAAACCTCAAAACATTCATTAAGAACACCTTAAGCAAAAACACTAGCATAACAATAAAAATCAGGCTGCAACCCTCAGAATATAGAAAAAGTCATACTCTGTACAATCAAAATGATTAGAAATAAAAATATGTTCCTCCTTTTTCTATTTTACGCATTGGAATTAGGCCCCTTAACATTAGATAGAATAAGGAACAGTCTGAGAAGCAAAAATGTAAAATTTTCAGACTATTCAATGTTAGCAGTGTATTACCAAGGCTTCCAAACCAGAATGTTAAGGTACTGATTCCCTGTGCATTCAAAAGGCAGAGTTAGTCCTGACCACAATGACTCACTCTCCGGAGTTAACCTGTTCAAATAAGATGTCGATGTGGTCTGACTGAATTACACAACTTAACATTCATAGTGTTAAACACTTAAAACAAAGCAAGGAAATAAGGGTAGCTAAATATATACAATGCATTTGAAACAGGTGAAAGACAGAACCCCAGACACTGAGGAATCATTACCTGGAAATTAAAGAGGGCAGAAGCAATCCTATTATTCATTATAAACAGCCCAGCTGCTGACTTAATGGTAGTTCAAGTAGCATAACCAAGGAGTCCTTGCTTCAATATTAATAGGAAATGTATTGTACGAATCCAATAGTTCATGAAATTAACAAGGAAAATGAACTGGAGTGAAGCAACTTTGCAAGTAATAGGAGGCATCAGCAATTGCTTCCCCTAGAGCATACTGAACACTTAGAAAGAGCTTGGGAGAGTACATGTATAAAAATGAGAATGGACATTATTAGAATTTTTTAATAATACTTTTAATTTAAATAAATTTCAAAGTCTCTGTTCATCGCAAGTCTTTTCAAGAAGCTATTAGTTCAGAATGTCAATAAGAGGTCACAAGCTATGCAAGCTGATCCAATGATATTGAAAGTGGGCTGCCATTTAAGTCAGCCTAAAACTACCATAAATTCATGATTTGACATTGTCAAAATTATTCCCATTTCACCTTTGTAGAACTAAATACTTAAAATAGTCTAGAAAACAATTTCCCTTCTACAGGCCTCAACAGCCTAAATAATATACACATTCTCATCAGCAAGCTAAAAAGTATAGTTCATTCTACTTACAAACCAATAGACATACGATGAAAGCGAGCACCTCCCCCACAGACACTTCCAGGCACAATTTGACTGAAGCTCGCATTGACCAAACAAGAAGCCAAAAGGGTTTCCATGGAAGGGAGAATGTGACTTGTATTTTCCCCAGACAGAGACCCATCCAAGTCTTCCAAAATTGCGGCATGAGGAAATGGAAATGCTACTAAGTTTGGAGAGTTTGTAAACTTCAACTGGTTGGTCTTCACAGTAAATCCACCTATAAAGTGGAAGACAGACAGACTTAGACAATGGCACAAAAGACTGTTAACATAAATGACAATTAAATTCACTGGAGTGCTTTCAGTAACAAATAGTTCAATAATTTAAACAGAAAGATGTTCTGTCCTAAGGATATTTCAGTTTCTAAGAATAACATCATTTAAATCACAATTAGATCACCACGGAAGTAAATAAATAAATAAATATTACATTTATATAGTTCTACAATTCACTCATTCATGCAATTAAAAAAAAAATGAATGCATACATAAAGGCTAGAATTACCAAGGTAAACAAGCAATGTTGGCCCGGTCATCACCTGGCCTGTGATCTAGGGCAGAGATTTTTCTATTGAGGCATTGTTGCCCTCCAGGGACATGTGGCACTATTTGGAATCCATTTTGTGTGTCACCTCTAGGGGGCTGGCAGTGTGCTAGTAGTGGCCAGTGGGTAGAGACCAGGGATACAGCTAAACATTCTCCAAAACATAGAACAATCCTCATAACAAAAAATGATCTGACCCTAAATGCCAATAGCATCAAGGGTGAGAAACTCTTGTCTAGCGGGAAATAGAAACAGAAAACATTAATTCACTAATTACCAAACACTAACAGTTCTATAGTTGAGTTTCAGTCTTTCAGCTTCCATTCCTCTCTGGTGTGTCTAACCCCAACAACAATACCTCTTACCATGAGGTTTATACTTTAAACATTTACCTTCAAAAGCAACATTCAATTAATCACCTGGGCAAATAGTATTAGTAACACATATTCTAAGTATTAGCTCTAGGGCTATACTTCTTGGCAGGCTTTCCCTAATGCCACTGCCATGTGAGTGATGGGTACTGCCAGTCCAGTTGCCGGAGAACAAACTAGCAGTGATCTTCTAACTCACACGCTCGTATCATTAAAGGAGGAAAACTGAGTGTACATCTCCCACTACATTGGCCACCATGCTAGTGCAGTATGTACGTTATAAAATACACACAAAGGAAAATAACAAGCAATAGCATGAAAGCCTCCATGACTCCATCTCTCACAACTTCTGTACTTCATCTAATACCACTGCAGCTCTACAGTCTTCTGTTTGCACTTAATTTCTGACTGATATGAGGGCACAGACGATTAGGTTACATTGCTTGCTTTTGTTAGGTAGTGCAGCTCTGTATTTTAGACATACTGGACTTCATTGTGATCCTCCAGGCACAACTTGCTCTTTAGAATCACTATTTTTTTTAATATGTGTTTCCTAATACTTGGAAATTTTTTCCCACCTATTGCCTCTTGGAAACTTCCATTCACCTTCAAAATCCTACTCAAGGACCGTTTGTATGAAATCTTACCTGATGCCCTGTCTTGGTTTCTTCACTGACCTTGTTCACCCTCTAGAACTGCACTCATCCCAATGCATTATAGTGATATTATCTTTATGCCTTAGATATTCATCTTTATGCCTAGACCAAGAGTCCTGGAAGACAAACTATGTATTTTTCATTTCTGTACTCCCCAGCTCTGTAAGCAGAAATAGACAACTTTTAAACAAATAAAGAGATGGTTTAGCTAAGATCATCCAGTGAGATCTTTAGCTTACAGCTCATAAGAGTATGTGACTTTTTTCACTGTCTTATGAATGATAGGAAACAATGAAAGTATTAAAGAATTGAGCAATTGTGATTAGAAGTCCTTGCCATGAGGTATTTTTTATTCCTGTTATTATTTCTGCAATCTTAGTCTCAAATGCCACCCAAATAAAAACAATCCTTCACTCTGCCTGCCCAGGAAGAAAAAAAAAGGTTAAGTGCAGACTTGCTGATTATTCATTTAATTAAAAAAACAAACAATTATCTAAATTGGTGATTCAAACCACAAGAGCATATTTACTTAAATTACTTGGCTTGGCTGTTTACAATGATCAAATCAACTAGATTGCTCTCTACCTCTTTTCACCTTGGCCTATGAGTCCTCCAAGGTATTTCTCACCACCTCCGAGATGTGGTTAACAAGTAAGCAAGAATGCCTGTGATACACTCTGTCTCTACATCAAGCCATGGGCTGCTGGAAACACTGAGTACCTGAACTTTAGCCCTTTCAGAAAAGGTTATATGCATGTTGTTTTATATCCATGTGTCCATCCATTCAACTCCGTTCACTCATTCAATTAGTAACTGTCTTCTATGAGCCTGGCTCTCTGCTAGGTGCTAATAAAAAAGATCGTGCAAGAGAAATGTGATCCCTGCCTTTATGAGGCTCAGAGTCCAGCAGAGACAGAGCACTATAATAACAGAATGTGGTAGGCACTGTAAGAAGACGATGGGCAGCTACAGGAACTACACTGGGAACTCGCAGAATTTCTTTTAGGAGATTTAAGCAAACAGTTTCTACTGATGCAATCTTATAACTGAAAGAAATGATTCACAAAGGCCTCGCCATTGTTTATCATATGGACTTGAATATCGGCCTTATTTACCATCTGTACTGTCTATTCAAATAACTTACCTTGTCCCTGGGAACAGCCTGAACAGGTTCTTATGGCCACACAGTTGATGAGATCAAAATTAACAAAGGCAGTGTTAGATACCATCAGTTCCCATCTTTGGGGAGTTTTAATCCCAGCTGACATACACAGGCCTTCCTGTGATTTCTGAGAGGACAAAAAAGGAAAGCAAAGTAAGAGAACTGGCCACATATATAAACAGTTTATAATAACATAAATAAAATAAGAAGATAAAAAGACAAGCTACAGACTGGGAGAAATCATTTGTCAATTATAACAGGACAAAGTACCTTGATCCAGAATATAGAAGGAAGTTGTTTCAAATCTCAACAGAAAGAAAACTGAATAACTCAATTTAAAAATCAGAAAAACAAAAAGAAATTGAAAAGACACTTCACCCAAGAGGATACATATATCAAGTAAGCATGTGAAAAAAATTCAACATTTTTATTCTTTAGGGAAATGAAACTTATAATCAGTAAGATACACTAAACACCTATTAGAAAGGCTAAATAAAAGACTGACAATACCAAGTGCAGATAAGGACTAAGAACAACCAAAACTCTTCAAATATTGCTGGTGGAATGCAAAATGGGACAGCCACTGTGGGAAATAGTTTGCCAGTTTCTTATAAAGTTAAATGTTCCCTTATCATAGGGCCTAGCAATAACACCTAGGTTTGAGAATGAAAACCTACATTTATACAAAAACTTCACACAAATGATTGAATGGTACCAATTTATAATTACCAAATCTAGAAACAACTCAAATGTCCTTCAACAAATGAGTGGATAAAAAGACTGTGCTCTATCCACATAACAGAATACTGTTCAGCAGCACTGAGAATTAAAATACCGATACACGCAACAAGGTGGATGAATTCCAAAACCATTTGGGAAGAAAGGAAGCCAGAAGCCAGTCTCAAAAGGTTGCATACTCTGTAATTCCATTTACACGACTACTGAAAAAGCAAAACTATAGTGATGGAGAATAGATTAGTGATTGCCGGGATGAGAAGTGAGAGGAGGATGTCGCTGCAAAGAAAGAGCTTGAGGCAGGTCTGATTAATGCAACTGTTCTGTGCCTCAGTGGTGCAGTGGAAGGGACACAAATTTACACTTTTTAAAACAAATTTACCAGAAAACCTAAAAAGAAAGAAATAAGAACCGCTTCTAGCTTTTTCCACAAAATCTTATCAACAAACTCAATTCAAACAAGTTGCTATTGCCTTACTGTTTCATTGTTTAAAATAGTTGTACATTTGAGGGGATCACCAGAACTTTCTCAAGATACTCCACAATGAGAAACAGTACTAAAGTAACCACACGGAAGAAAGGAAACCCAGTGGAGGCCAAGCTAGTATAGAAATCAGAACACTGAGACACTATCTCTAATAACCTCAGAGGAATAAACGTATTATATCCATGAAACAAATGGAAACCTAAAGGGGGATTTTTCAGAAAATTACAAAAATAGGAAAGTCGAAATAAGAAATTCAACAGAGAAAATATTCCAGAAAGTAAAACAAATGACAAAGAAACAGAAAATCAGAGAGAATTCAGATTGGAAAAGCAATCCAAGAGGTCCAATGTCCAAATAATAAGAGTTTTAAGAAAAAGAGGAAAATATAGGGAAGCTAATTATCAAAGAAATAATTGAGAAATTTCCCAGAAAGGAAGAATATACTTCCTCAGACTGAAAAGTTCTGCTTAGTACCTAACACGGTGGTTAGAAAAAGAGCTTCACCAAGTACGTCATATGGAAATTGCAAAACACCGAGGGAAAGAAGGAGACCCAAAGATGAAAACATAAAAGGTTACTTATAAAAGACCCAGAATGAAAATATTTTAAAACCATTCAACCTCAAGACTAGCAGAAGCTAGAAGACAATGGAATATTGCTTTCAATATCAAAGCAGAATTAACTCTTAACCTGGTATACTGTATCCAGCAACCTATCAGGAAGGGAGACTTCACATGTAGCTCAAAACCTTTACTTTCCATGGTTCGCCTTTTTCTCAGAAAGTTACTTTAAGCTATGTGCTAACAAAATGAGGAATTAAACTAGAAAGGAGGAATTATGTGGAAATCAAGAACAAGAGTTCCAACACTGGAGAGACATGAAGGCAGTCCCAGGATTTTGGTTAACAAAGATTTCAAAATGTAGCTGTGCAACCATGCCTTCTACCTGTGCATTTCTGGTGCAACTATAAATACTCTATTTATTGGCATTCCCCTAAAACTACTCTATGACCCAGTAGTTTTAAGACTTGGCATATATTCAACAAAAAATGCACATGACAATGTGCTCGTTTCGGCAGCACATATACTAAAATTGGAACGGTGCAGAGAAGATTAGCATGGCCCCTGAGCAAGGATGACACGCAAATTCGTGAAGTGTTCCATATCTTTTAATTTAAAGTGAAAAAAATGCACATGACAAGAGACACACAGAAGTGCATTCATAACATCATTTTTGTGATAACCCAAAACCTGAAACAATAAACTGTCTATCAATAGCAACATAACTTAAAAAAAAAAAAAAAACTATAGTACAAAGATAAAATGACACACTTCAGAATGACTGGAAGAATACATTATTGTCACACACAAAAGCATGGATGAATCTCACAAACACAATTTGGTGCCAAAGAAGCCAGGTACAATAGATTACAGACTCTCTGATTCCACTCTTACCAAGTTCAAAAACAACAGAAATTAATCTATGCTGACAGAAGTCTGAAATCAGCTTCCCCTTTGGCTAGGGAGTGGTGAGTGGGGTTAAATGGAGAGGCATTTAATAATCAAACTATTATTATTTGGATATATTTAGAGAAATTGATAATGTTCTATCTCTTGTTCTGCATGGTACGCACACAGCTTGTTTGCTTTCCGAGTTATTGTGTCACTTTTCTCTATAAATGTTGTATTTCCGTGAAATATTTACTTTAAACACTGGAACAAATACTAGAGGAAAAATAACATAGAAGATGGGAGGGTACAGAAAGGTAAAGAAGTTTAAAGTTCTTGAATTGCTCAGGTAAAGCTTAACAGTGCTGATGTATTTGGACTTTGTTAAGATGGGCAGGCACATTAAAAGTTTAAGGCAAATAACAAGAATAATCATAACAGAATGAATAACTTCCAAATGAGTAAATATAACAAGTTAAGTATCCAGTACAAGACAAATCAAGTTAGGAAAGTAGAAAAAAAAGAAACCCAAGCTGGATTGCAAACTGAAAGCATGAAAGAAGATTGTAGAAATAAATGCAAATGTATGGCAGCCATCAGCATGTGGATGGTAATTGAAACCACTAGAGAAAATGAGATTTCTCCCAGGGAGAGCAAGTATATTGAAAGGAAAAGGGGCCCGACCACGGAATTCAGAGAAACAAAAAGATGAAAGGTCTAAATGAGGAAGACAAATCCTCAAGTGAAAATGAGAAAAAATAAAACCCTAGAGAAATAGGAAGAAGAATGAAGAAACTCCATCAACATCTGTCTGAATACGATATTTTGTAAAATGGTATCATCTGCCCAAATTAATTACAATAATGACAAAAAGACAGCCAGGCTGCAGATACTTCAAAGAATAGGGTGACTGTGACTTAAATCCAAATCAGGACACTTTGGGGTATAAAAAGGGAGGCTAATTAGGTAGAATGCTGGGATAACGGGTACAAACAAACTGCCCAACCAAAGTAGGACGCAGAGTGATGCTATAATAATGCATCTCTTTTCTTATATATACTAAAGCCATCCTCACTGAAAATTATTTTACCCATCTCAATATAAAATTAATATGGGGTGGGAGAGTTCCAACATACATATAAGCATGTTTAAAGGAACTAAAAAAAAGCCATCTAATGACAAAATGTTCTTCCAGAAACTAATGTTTGTTTTAGGACATGACACATATAATTGTGTGCTACCCATTATAGGGAGGTAGAAAGTCCATAAATGAATAGGCCACATTCTCTGAAAATCTCAATTCCTGAAGGAGTGGCATGCACAAAAGACAGAAGCGAAAGTCAGAGTTCGACAGCCACCCCAGGTCAAGCATTGTCCTTTATTTTTAATAACTATTAATATTTAATAATTGACACATGGCAACAAAGTGGTTCCCAAATAAATCTGAGAAAAACTGTGCTAATGAAAGATAATGGATAGGTTTTCTTACTTGTTCTAACCCTAGAATTTCTCAGAGTCTTTAATATGCTTTAATATTTTTTCTTTTTCTAATAAATTTTATTCTGTTTATTTGAGGTTTACAAAGTGATGTCTTGGGATACATCCAGCTAATAAAATGGTTCCTATAGTGAAGCAAATCACTATATCATTATCTATCATCCCACACAGTTAACTTGTGTGTGTGTGACAAGGGAAGCTAAAATTTACTTGTCAACAAAAATCCCTAATATAACACCTGTACAATGTTAGCAACTCTAATCCCCATGTTGTACACTACATCTCTAGACTTGTTTGATATTTCAGGGAATAGAGGGTATGGTAAAAAGCATAGCACACATGTCATCAACCTAAGAATGTCCTTTCCCAAACAGCCTCTGGGGCTATCCTTTCATGGAAAACACTCCAGGGAGTCTGGGTGTAGGCACCAGTAAGTGTTCATTATCAAAGATACCTTCCACGTGCAATCGAAAGAGTATTTGACCAGAAATATTAAGATAGGAGGGTGGTCTTAGTTGCAAAATATATAGGCATGAACCTTGAATGATCATTCAAAGCCTCCATTTTTTCTCCCGCAAATTCAGGAATTTTAAACAGGCCATCTCTCAGGTAATATTCAGCTTTTAAATTGTATAATTTTATGATATGGATGACTAACTCATATCCAGATGTCTTCTAGAAGAAAATTATTTAATATATCTCCCTGGAACCCTTCCTTGCTGAGAGACGGAAAAGCCCTCAGCTGCATTGCATTCCGAGTGAATCACACCCCAGGGGTGTGATTATTTCTGATTATTTCATGATAAGCACCCTTTTGTCATAATTTGTATCTTAATTTATGTCACTCTCCCATTAATTATGATGTCTATTTAACATCAATTAAGACGCTGCAACATTAATTTAGCAGGACAGTTAGTTACTCAGTTTGACAGGAATTTTGTTTTTAGCATCTACTCTAAGGTTATTTCTAGAAAAGTTAAGGACATTTGATCTACCAGCATCACAGGGTCTAAATCTGGGTGCCAACTTCTCTTAGAAATCGTGCGATCTGAAAAGAAGAATTATCTCTGAAGGTAGTAATCCTTTTATAGAAATGAAAAACTGCCAGGTATTTAACTCCTGAAAAAGGTGGTTCAAAATAGATGTAACTAAGAAAAGTTGAGAATTAAACACAGGAAAATGATAAGAAAGTGATTTCTTAAATCTTAAGATTTTTATCTGTAGCTATGAAATAATCTCCAATGAAAGTACCAAAGTCAAAAATTATCATTTCCATGTCAATTGAACAGGCACAGGGGCTCATGCCTGTAGTTTTATCACTTTGGGAGACCAAGGAAAGAGTATCACTTGAGGTCAAGAGTTTGAGACCAGCCTGAGCAGGAGTGAGACCCTATCTCTACAAAAAATAGAAGAGTTTAGCTATGTGTGATGGCATGCTCGGGAGGCTGAGGCAGGAGGATTGCTTGAGCCCAGAAGTTGAGGTTGCAGTATGATGCTGCCACTGTACTGCAGCCCAAGCTACAGAGTCAGACCTTATCTCAAGAAAAAAAGAAAAAAGAAAACAAAGGAAAAAAAATTCAACTGGACAAAAAATTCAGGAAAAAAACTGAAGAAAATGTCCTTTCCTTGGCTCCCAGGACCACTTTAAATTTCTTTAATCTATGATTTTTGTGAGAACAGCATTATTAATATGCATGTTACTTTTAAGAACAAGAACATGAGGGACCCACTATAGGCCTGAAGCCTAAGAAAACAGTGGCAGCCCTGAAACTCCCTTAAGGAGAACTAGTACCTCTCCCCTGGGTGGTAAGTATTCTGTTTCATCTACATCTTCATCTACCCTGATTATGCAATGAAGAATCCATCCACAGTCCGATTTTTACCATGTAGAAACCCACACATAGGCAAGTATTAGAGAATCACATACAAAATTTTAATATAACAAACTGTACATATTTATGTTACCTGATTTGACCTCTTTGGGGGGTGCCTAAAAGGAGTAAAAACGATCAAAAAAATGTTGATGTAGAAACTTGACAAACTGTATTCCATAATCCTTAGGAGGTTAGAGAAAATTCAGCTAAATTATTAGGTGTATTTTTAAATTTATATGAATAATATTCTAAATAAGAATTCTGCAAGTTACTGATAGCTATCATGAGTTATATGAGCTTATAACAATGAAACCCTGTGTATAAGAAAATGAATTTATTATCAATACCACCATTACTACAAATAAAAAGCTCTTCTTTTACCAATTAAATACAAGATTCATTAGAGAATGCTATTAGAATTACAGATCCTGTATTATCAGGGAGACCTGCACATATAATTTTGTTTCGATGAACAGCCTAAAGCACTTACCTTGTGGGCAAAATGACCAAGTAATAAGCTGTCAGTAACTGAAGTATTTGCATCACTTTCCAAGATGTCAATTCCAAAATCTCGGCATGAATAAACTTGGAAGTTTTTCAGGTGAAGATTACTACTTCTAACAATCTATAAAATAACACCGTATGTTATGGCAAAGGTCTGGGGTTTGATTTTCCTTGCAGACTTTCTGTAGCTTCTTCAATTATTGATTAAGTATAAATAAGCATACTACTCCATATTTAAGCACCTTTTGTACATCAATATTCAGACAGACATCCCAAAGCTGTTCTGAGGTCAGCATTAACCAGTGCCTCCATACTTTTCATTTCTCTTCATAATAACCAATGCCTAAATATGTCAATGTGGTTCTTCACATGTCTAAAATAAACTTGCACAGCCAAGTAACACAAAATTAATAGGGAAAAACACAGCATCCAAGGACTCCAGTGCTTAACCTTTTCTTCAGTGCAGTCTGTACTAACTCGTATTGTCAGAGATTGCAAATATGAAATAAGAAATTCAGTGTAATTATAGGGGTCATGACTTGTGGACTCAGTATATGTTACATGCATATACACTTATGTCAACTTGGGTTAGTGTACCTAGACAGGGTATACGTAGTAACAAAATCATCTATTAGAGTTAAACAGATCCCAATTGCTATGGTTTGAATGTGTCCCACAAAAAAACATGTGTTGGAATCTTAATCTCAACAGAACTGTGTTGGGAGATGGAACCTAATGGGAGGTATTCAGGATACACAGGTTCACCCTTGTGAATGACTCAATGCCAGTTACAAAAGGGCTTGAGGCTGCAGTTCCATCTCCTGCTCTTTCTTGCTTTCTCTTCACCCTTCCTTCATGAGATGACACAGCAAGAGGACCTTAACCCAGTGCTGGCTCCTCAGTCTTGGACTTCCCAGCTTCCACGGCCATAAGCCAATAAATCTCTATTTATCACCAATTTCCCAGTCCAGTCTGTGGTATTCCATTATAACAGCACCATACGAACTAACACACCACTGGTCTAAGAGACAGAGCTTTTGGTTTTCACCTTTCTCTAATAGTTACTATGGGATTTGGAGCATGACATTTCATTTGCCTAGTTCTAAGTTCAGGGCTAGAAGTTAACCTAACACAGCTATCCTCTATTCATTAAATAGGGTCATCTTTATATTCATATTTTTTCACCCGAAGTCTCCCGTTAATTAATGTCAAGATATTCTTAGGGC